GATGGATCCTATGATACATAGATATGAACAGTACCTTACGATAGGTACGTAGGAATGGTATGCTCCTTCATTCCTTTCTTCAAAGCTTCGTATCGTACGTATACTTCAGATACAGTACGTACGTATCCTTTCCAGTACGTACGTATCCATTGCATACTAGTCTGATGTGTTGTTGTTTTGTGTGTGGGTAGGTGAAAAATTGGTTTCTGTTGCAGCTCAATTAGTCCTAGTAGTACTAAAAATATAGTTGGGAGGGCCCAGATTGCTAGATTTTCAGGCATCTTGTTATGGGATGAGCACCACATGGTAGCACAAAAATATCTCTTTCTATGTATTCTTTAGGCTTTCACCTTTTAGGATAACTCAACACATACTACATACTCGTGTTAATTTAAATTTGAATTCATATGGGATTCTTCCTCTTTTTGCCAACAAGCAGAGAAGGTACGTCTGAAGTAAAAATCAAATCAAGCTGACTTGGTTGACATTATGGAGAAGATTAGAATGACTAGCTAAGCTCTGTCCTCACAACTTGCTCATATTAGTACTTCTAGTAGTAGTATCACTCATAGTACCAGTTATGGTGATTGGAAATGGAGAAAATCATTTCAATGTTGAAGTTGAATGGATGCAGCTGATGCATAGTAGTAGCAGGAAAACAATGACATGTTTTGTCTGCAAAAGGAGACATCACCAAGAAGATTACATCAGTGGGTGTCCCTCTCCTTTCTTGCTGCCAGATCTGAATGTTCCAGCTATATTAATTCAAATAGCTGCTGGAACTCTGGGATTGTGAACTTGAATGTAGATGATAGCTCTAACATCAGCAACAACGACAAGAAATAGGCCAAGCAATTTCTCCTTATTCCTTGAGCCTGTGAATGGGGATCATTTCACCAGTCACCAAGCAAGAGTAGTTGAATGAAGAAAAGGGTAGAAGACAGAAAGAGGGAAAGTTTTAATTACAAAACTAGTTTTCTGCTTATCTTGCTTATCTAATGCTCACAAAGTACCACTACTGGTACTAGTACTACTAGTAGTAGTACCACTCAATAGGTCAGACAAGCCCTGTTTTTCTTCTCATCAGTCAATAAGGAAGCCAGCCATTCACTACTAATTCTTTTCAAGAAGTTCTCAACTTTGAATTATCTTCCAGTCATTATGGTAAAATTTGGATAGAGGATACTTCAATTACTTTTTAGGACTTGATCCACATACAGGCCAGGTGCCCAAATTGAGGCCAGAACTCATGGGCAAAAAGGTTCTCTGAGACGAAAAATTACTCCAAAGTCTTACACTACGGGTCAACAAACAACTAATGAGAATGGGCCAACAAAGCACTATTCGTATATTTCAGGAATCACTTTCAGAGCATAACTACAAAGTCTTAAACTAGAGGTAGAACTATTGAAAATGGGCCCACACCGTACTTTTCGGATATTTTAGCAATCACTTTCAGAGCACAATATATATAATATGTGTTGTATCACGTGTGTTAAGTTGATTGATCTACGTATCTCACAAAACAAATTGTGCTAAAAAGACCATAGATCATGCTCTTTTGTTAATAGGATTCGACTTTTTCGATCAGAACATCGACAATAGCTGGTTCGGCAAGCGTACTGGTATCTCCGAGGGTATCTTTCTCGTCGCAGACAATCTTTCGAAGGATACGGCGCATGATCTTTCCCGATCGTGTCATCGGTAGGCTCGGTGTGACCACAATCATATCGGGGCTGCAGAATCCTCCCACCTCAGTACGGACTTGCAGACGGAGCTCCTTGATGAGATCGTCGGATTCCTCGAAGCCGTTTCGGAGCATGCAAAAGGCACAAATGGCCTGGCCCTTGATGTCGTGGGGCTTGCCGACAACAGCGGCCTGAGCAACCGCGGGATGCGCTACCAATGCGGATTCAACTTCGGCGGTTCCAATACGGTGCCCGCTAACGTTGATGACATCGTCGACGCGGCCGGTAATGAAATGGTTTCCCTCGGCATCACGCATGACACTGTCCCCTGTGAAGTAGTAGCCCTCGTAGGGTTTCAGGTACACAGTGAGGTATCGAGAGTGATCCCCAAGACAAGTACGTGCCATTCCCGGCCAGGGTTGTCTAATGGCTAGGACTCCTTCGACACAACCGCTCTCGTCGGGTTCAACGATCTCTCCACTGGACGGCTCGAGAACGACAGTGTCGATTCCGTAGCAGGGCAGGGTGCACGATCCAGGTTTCATGGGCGTGATTCCCGGCAAGTTTGTAACGATGTGACCCCCTGTCTCTGTTTGCCAATAGGTGTCGACAACGGTGCATTCTGATTTTCCTACGTTTTCGTAATACCAGCGCCAGGCTTCGGGGTTGATCGGTTCTCCGACAGATCCAAGGACCTTGAGACTGCTCAAATCGTACTTGGTAGTAGGTTCGACACCATATTTCATCAACAATCGGATTGCCGTCGGTGCAGTGTAAAATTGCGTGATTTTGTGGCGCTCTACCATGTCCCAATATCTGCCCTCGTCCGGATAAACAGGCGTCGATTCGAACATGAACGTCGTACAACCGTTGAAGAGCGGCCCGTAGACTACGTATGTGTGGCCTGTAATCCATCCACAGTCAGCAACACACGCAAAAATATCATCCGGCGCCAAATCAAATGTGTTTTTCACTGTCTGAGCCGCATATAAAGAATAGCCACCAGTGGTGTGTACCAAACCCTATCGTTGAAGAGAAACAAGACAAATCAAAATTTCAAAATGAGAGGGGATATTCGCTCAGGCTGTAAATTCTACACTTTTTGGGTTCTTTTTGCCAGAAAAGTCTACGAACCTTGGGTTGGCCTGTACTACCCGACGTGTAGAGAATGAATAAATTGTCTTCGGCATCCATTGGTTCCGGTGCGCAAAATGGTCGTTGGTCGGCTACCAACAGATCCATTCGAATGTCCTTCTCCCTCGCTTCGTACTCAACTTCGTCTTCCACAGTAGTTACACCCTCCTTGAAGCCGCGTTCCCATACCATGACATTTTTTACCAAGTCTTTATCTTCGATGAGATCCATGGCATTGTCAACAATGGCTTTCAGACCAATCTTCTTTCCTCCACGCATGCCATAGTCTCCGGTCACGACAGTTCCACAATTCGCAGCTTTCACTCTCGACGCCAAAGCCTCTGCTGAAAACCCAGCAAATACGACCGAATGAACGGCTCCTATTCTTGCACATGCTAGCATCGTCATGGCAAGTTCCGGAATCATAGGCATGTAGATCGTGACGACATCTCCCTTTTTCACTCCCTTTGCCTTGAGAGCGTTGGCAATCTTCGAAACTTTTCCTAGCATCTCTCCAAAGGTAATCTTTCGAATATCGTCGGGTTCATCTCCCTCCCAAATAATGGCAAGATCGTCGGGATTGTGTCGGTCGAGGGCGTTGTACGCAGCATTCAACTTGCCTCCCTCGAACCACCGGACGTCTCCCTTCGTGAGATCTCCCTGCAGTATTTTGTTTTCGTCGAAGGGGGAAAACCAATTTAATTCTTTCTTTGCAAGATCGCCCCAGTATTTGGCTGGGTCTTTGATGGATTCGGCGTGGACTTTTTTGTATCTGTCAAAGTTGCTGATTGTTTTGGCGGCGTAAACAGGCTCGATTTGGCCGCTGCTTCCCTCCTCCGCCATGTGCAGCCGTTGTTGCGAAATAGCCGGTTCATGCCGTGCTGCGAACGCCGAAGGTGCAAAAGCTTCGCCTTGGGTCGTCGCGGCGATAGAAAACAGCAGCCATTGCAGCGAGATTGATCGAAAGCTTAGCTTCATGGTTTCTTCTTGAGTTCAAATGTGATACCTCAGTTGGCTGTAGTGATGATCTACCAGTGTCTAAAATACCGCAATTTTATGCCGGATTGAGGCGTCAGATACGATCTTTCGGAAGGATGAAAAACAAGTTTGTAGAGAACGGGTACAAGGTACAAGTACGTAACGGTACTCGTACGGGCATCACGTTGTGGCACATGAGCATATTGAAGTTGTTACAGGTTATGGTACCTCTATTGTGCAACTGGTGCGCATCAATTTCTTCTTTCATTAGAGTATTAGAACTAGTAGTAGTACAAGCACTAGCACTACTACTAGTGGTAGTGGTAGTGGTGGTGGTGGTAGTACCACCACTACTATTACTAGTAGTAGTTGTCACAAGAAGAAGTGAAAGAACAAGAACAAGAAGAAGAAATAGCAGCAGCAGCAACATGAGAGCAGGAGGAGGCACAGGAGACAGAACCTTGCAACGGATGCGTACGTACTGTAAAGGAAATACGTACCGTACGATACAAAGAAAGGAATGAAGGATCATACCATTCCTACGTACTGATCGTAAGGTATGGTTCATATGTATGTATCATAGGATCCTTCGTATTGAAGATCGTAAGAGGTCCGAGATATCTAGAGTTAGAATATCTTACGAAGAACATAGATGTCACGAGTTCCGAATAGTAAGAACTCCATGTAGATCAACTACCAAGATCTACACAGGGAGCTAATCGGAACTTCGGAAATCTCACGAATCGGTATGATAATCTTAATCTTATAATCTTAATTTTCATACACACTTAAACATACTATGAGTACACGTAATCTCGTGCACAGTAATTACTAAGTGATTTCGTGTATCGAAATTAATCAACCTTTAAGAAAAACAACTAAAATAATACATCGACCATGGTGAAACCAAATAAGAACACCAACTCCTCCACCAAACGATATCAACATTCACATCAATCGTGCCTTACCCTTGACAACCAATTCAAGAAGAGTGACCTTGATAGGGTCAGCATCCTTGTGGATCACCCAGCAAGGACAGAGACAACAGGAAGAGGAACTAATCGGAGAACAAGGGAAATTCCTGCAATGAGAAAGAAAAGAAGCTGTGTGGTYTTCTCCGGACAATATGGAGTACAGGAGTTATTCCATGTACAGGAGGCCTTTGAGGGTGCAGCAGACGACTTGAAACTGAGGGATGAGCAAATAGACGAGAACTGGCTCACGGTCTTGGCACATGGGCCCAGACAGAAGTGGAATAACATGTGGCGCAACAACCGATTAGGTGAACGAGTGACAAGAGATAGCAAAGCACAATGGAAAATAGCACTCCTTACCTTCAGGAAGTTTTATGCTTCATCTAAGAGTGCCAGGGACGATGTCATTGATTACTTAAAATCAGAAGCAGTAAGGAAACCTCATTCAATCTCCTGTGAAGCACAYGCCGATMAAATYSAGASATGCTGCWCCAGAGCCAACATTCTTCATGGCGTCTGTGAGCCCCTATCAGAAAGAGAGATCAAACAGATCCTTTTCAAGTCCTTCCCCAAAGCCTGGCAGAATGATTACAGAAAGTGTGGGAGAAATATCTTGAGGGACATGATTGAAGAAATCGTAGAGTTCATGGCTGAACAAAAAGGAATTGCAGATGAAGAACAGCAGCAACGTTCAAGGAAAAGACCAGCAGATGATGCTGCAGCTACAGATACTAATGCAAGACAACGCGGAAGGAATAATGGAAAACAAAGAAGAAGAGGAAACAACAATAGAAACAACAGTGCAAACAGACAAAACGAGACCCCGGAAGAGAGACAGAATAGAATCAATGCAACACCCTGTAGAATACACAAGGGTCAACATCTATGGGGAGAGTGTCGTTTCAACAAAGATGGTTACAACCGAGGCAATAACAATAACAATAATAACAACAATCATGGAGGACATCAGAGAAACCAAGGCAATTCAAATACAAACAACAGCAATAAGAGGTTCACTCCAGGATTGTATTATATGGATGAACATGGGAACATGAGCAATTTCCAACCACAGTCGATCCAAACTCAAAATTATCATGGCTCCAACTCCAGTGGTCCTCCAAGCCATGTATCACTACAATCCAATAGCAACGCGGGCTCGACAGTCAGATTCCAAGGACAAGGACAACAAGGACCAAACCAGCAGTGGTGACATCCAAATTCATCTACAACGAATGAAGCTTTCTTTGCATTGCCTCCAACACCATCCACTCATTCACCAGCAGAGAGCTTTGAATTCTATGGCCTTGATAATGATGAAGCTCTCAAGAACCCAACAGCAGTCACCTTGAGAGCTCTGAAAACACCACCGGACATGCAGGATGTACTACCAACGGTGATCCTAGTATGTAAAGCCATCCAAGGCCTACCGACGATGAACACATTCAAGGTTCTATTAGATAGTGGGAGTACAATGTGCCTBATTCACGAGCGTTGCCTTCCACCAGGAACAGTCCCTTTCCAAGACCAATTCAGCTCGGTCACAACCACAGCTCAGGGGAACTTTGACACMTCCAAGTATGTCTTCATATCCAATATTTGGCTCCCTGAGTTTGGCAATGGCAAATATACCAGAGGAATCAATGCRAGGCTCTTTTCAGCCCCTTGCAACTATGACATGATTCTAGGAAGGGACTTCCTACTGATGACAGGGATAGATCTCCTCTACTCCACACGCACCATCAGATGGTTGGGATCAACCATCGACATGAAGGCCACAGATCATTTCAATGATCCCCAGCAAATAGCAGAGGCTATGTGGCTGGCAGAGGATGATGAACTCTTAGATGGAGGATTCTTTGA